TTGAATTATGGCAAATGGCAATGCAGAATGAGGAATTAGAAGAGTCAAGATCACACAGTCAAAAGGTCAATGACAGAGACTCATGACACAACTAGACTGCTCTTACCAATCTTTTTATGAAGCTTGATAAAATATATATTATATAATATGTATATATGTACTACCTTCAGCAGTTTCTCTACAGGGAATGGCATATTGGTACAAAATTGTCGAATTCTTTCAGACACAGTGAAAGTATCTGTAATTACCCCATGGTGGTGTTGTTTAGCTGAAACTGAAATCAAAAGAGAACCACTCTGTTAATACTGTTCTAGTTTCCCCCTTTCATCATGTTCACTGTAAAAACAGCTCATCTTTTTGTAGATTAAAACAGCTCACCTACAATAATAATCTATCATTAATACAATTCATATAATGATTACTTGAATTCTTTTAGTGGACTTTTGAAGAAAAACCTGATCATGTAGCATGTACGTACAATTAAGAAATCAATAAAACATTAACTATACCAGTCAACAGGGGGAAAGGGGAGGATACTGTTAGGAGTATACTTAACATTTTTCTGTTACACTGAGACACTGAATCATTAACTTTGCTTACTTATTTATTTAATGAGTATGGCTACAATAATTACTTACCTCAGTAAATTGAGTTTAATGAGATTAGTTAATTACCTTAGTAATTTGTAAATGAGTATGGCTTGAACAGTTACTAATTTGAGTATTTTGTAAATGAGTATAGCTAGAACAGTTACTTACCTGAGTATTTTGTAAATAAGATGAGTATAGCTAGCACAATTCTGTACAGCACTTTCACTCCTTCAACTAAATAACAGTCAAGAATTCTCACCTGCAAAGTAAACCCCAAAATCCAACATTAGCTGAGGTTCTTTTCAAATGAAAACTTTAACAAATGTCTAGTGTCTTGATCAACATGTTAAAAAGAGTGTGCTTTTTAAGAAAAAAAAAGTTTGTTACTGCTATATGTGGGATAAACTGTGTCATGAAGGCTTGAATCTAATGGATATTTACTCAAAAAAGGTTTCACTGATTTATTGCTAATAGATTAAATCTTATCGTATCGCACAGATCTTTTCTTGATAAAACACCAATAAATGACCAATTTTGTTTACTTTTAAAATAAATAACACATGGTTGTGTCAGTGTCTCCAATCTACTATCTATTGCAGTCAATGACCGATAGTAATATAGGTATAGGGGAGGAGTTATCTCTCCTGACGATACTCTTCAATCCTCATGATTTATGTGTCAACACACACATATCAGATCTTGATATTGCTAAATCTCGTAATGTAAAATAATTTAACAAAGATACAGATACATCTATTTTTTATATTAAAAGTGCTTTTAACCCTGCATGTGCTACTTTCGTCAGTAAATTTTAAATCCTATTTTTGTATATATAATTTTTTTTTTATTTTGCAATTCTAGTGTTATTTTCTGTTGAATGTATAATAATTGTTAAAAAAACCAGAAGTCTCTGTCGAGACTGAAGCTCTACTGGTTTGTACTTGTAGCAAAGGAAGAGAAAAGTACTTATAAGCAGATGAGAATTGAAACTTTAAAACAGCAATAAATTATATTACATTATACATGTATTATAATCAGACTAAAACTGTATTTGGAGTAGCATTTTAAGAGTATTTAACTAAAATTTCTATTTTTAGTAACTACGGCAACACCGTTCATTGAAGTCAAAAACCGATACACAGAATTATGTATCTTAGTGTAGTCTACTTGTGTGCCAAGTTATATTGAAATCAGACGAACTGTAGGAGGAGTAGCATTTTGAAAGAATTTCACAGAAATTTCTATTTTTAGTAACCATGGCAACACCGCTCATCAAAATCAAAAACCGAAATAGAGAATTATGTATCTTAGTGTAGTCTACTTGTGTGCCAAGTTATACTGAAATCAGACCAAAACTGTAGGAGGAGTAGCATTTTGAAAGAATTTCACAGAAATTTCTATTTTAGTAACCACGGCAACACCGCCAACCAAAATCAAAAACCGATAAACAGAATTATGTATCTTAGTGTAGTCTACTTGTGCGCCAAGTTATACTGAAATCAGACCAAAACTGTAGGAGGAGTAGCATTTTGAAAGAATTTCACAGAAATTTCTATTTTTAGTAACCACGGCAACACCGCCTACCAAAATCAAAAACCGATATATAGAATAATGTATCTTAGTGTAGTCTACTTGTGTGCCAAGTTATACTGAAATCAGACCAAAAGTGTAGGAGGAGTAGCATTTTGAAAGAATTTCACAGAAATTTCTATTTTTAGTAACCACGGCAACACCGCTCATCGAAATCAAAAACCGATACACAGAATTATGTATCTTAGTGTAGTCTACTTGTGTACCAAGTTAGATTGAAATCAGACCAAAACTGTAGGAGGAGTAGCATTTTGAAAGAATTTCACAGAAATTTCTATTTTTAGTAACCGCGGCAACACCGTTCATCGAAATCAAAAACCGATACAAAGAATTATGCATCTTTAGTGCAGTCTACTTGTGTGCCAAGTTATATTGAAATCAGACCAAAACTGTTTTGAAAAATTGTTTACAAACAGACAGACGGACAGATGACGGACGCATTACTATCGCATAAGCTCTTCTGGTCTCTGACCAGTAGAGCTAAAAATCAAATAAAACTTCAAAACTGAAACGCTCTTTGAAATTCTTTGCCATTTTTAACTTTCTGTTTATTATAAAATGCACATATACAACATCTACCCTACAACCAAAATAAAATAATGCAGCCAAAAATTAGACGAGGCAATTCAGAAATTAGGATACTTATATCATTATTATTATGATAAAAATATATGACTACTATCTGTCCTTCACATTACTGGATAAAGCTGGTAAAAACTTTCTATTTAAACATATATATGCGTATCAGTATAAATCTGAGGTCAGGCCTGATAACGAAAATTAAAGACTATCCTAAAGTACGCAGAATGGTACAAAGGGGTACCAATACTGCATAATCACACAAAGGTGAGATATATATTTCAAAATCCTTGATTTTTTATCTCAGTTTATAAATGATATCATTGATTCATTATTGTTCAGGCATTTGTTACATTAGATTTCAGTTTCAATTTTTTTAAATTAAAAAGCTGGATTTTAGACAAAAAGTGTAATAATTTTTTTAAATTGTACTATTTTCATAAGTCATCTACAGATCATTTAATTTGTTGATATATTTCATACACAGGTGAACATATTTCCTGTTTAGAAATTTCCATTTTTTCATCTAAAATTAATGGGTACAATTAATACACCTAAAGCTATATGTCAGTTACTGCGATATTTACTACAGGGAAATACAAACAGTCAGGTGATTAAAACACTGTCATAAAAGTTAATAAACCCATTCTAAGCGTTAGAACAAGAACGGTGTACATATGTGTGAATAGGTGCATCACTACATTGTTTACTGTACACAAAATAAATGCTTTTTTTAAAATAAGCAACATATTATCAAGTTTTCATCTTAAAATTTCAGTCATTCTTATATAAATTGATTTCTAGCATGAAAGCATTTCCAACACAGAAATGAGAAACTTAGTTTTTTTTTTCAGGAAAAGCTTTAACTAAAGATTCCAAAGACACAAATGTCATTTTTGCCATGTTCGGGAGAAATGATATAGATCTACTGTCTCCCTACTGAAGTTGACAAAATAGAATTAAGACATCCCGGGTCTGTATTTTTAAAAACAAATCTGGAATATGACTACATATGTATACAGTCTTGATACAGAAGTATTTTCGTGCTTTGATGTATAATGATACGAGTCATTCTCGTTGTTTTATGAGGTTTGTGCCACAAGAGACAACTTACAAAGTGAGGAATACTTACAATGTGTGGGAAGGGTAGGTCAGAAAACAGCCACCACATCCAGGTATCAAACACAGATGTAATGTCACTGCTGTGTCGGACCAAGTAAACATACGCTGATTTCTGTAAAAAATAAATAAATTAGGTTTTACTCCAAGGTTTAATTCTTACATGATTCTCCCATCATTAAACATATGCTCTGAGATAAAACATCCTTTTTTTTTTTAACCTTTTTTTCCTTTATACAACAATCTCTCTCTCTTTTAATTTTGTTTTCAAAAAATTCTGATGTCAATATTGCATAACAAACACACAAACACTTTTACTACTGCTTTTAGGACAATGTTGTTTTAAAGAGTTTCCTTTATATCATTCCTGAGTTCAAATTTTGATCAGCATTTGCATTACTTTTACTTCCTACTCCAATATTTAAAGCACAAATTGGTACAGATTTCAAGTTTTCTTATTCAAATTATTTACTGCATATTTTTTGGTAAGATCTCGAAGTACAAGTTTGGAAGCCTCCACAGCAACTTTGGTCTGCATGATGCAGGCATCTTTGGAGCGCAGTAAAGCATATATACAGTTAAAAGCATCGGAGGGTCCCATGTAGTGGAGGAATATACTCAGCTTGGCGTACAGTGTGGGACAGTACAAAATTTCTGGATTGGTATTTTGGATTATAGCGAGGATTTTGGCCACAGTTTTGGTTCCTTGTTCAGAAAGGTGATAGGAGGTAAGGTTATTAAAATCCACAAACGGAGGTAAAGCTATATCATCTGTGTTTCCTGGAAAGATAATAAAGTACTTGTGCATGTTTTCACATGATAAAAATTATCATAGGAGGACTTTTAACACTTTACATAAATAACAAGTAAAAACATATCCAACCAATAGAGCTTTAATATTAGGAAATACCTGTTATACTAAAAAAATACAACTTAAATATGTAGAATGTTTTCATATCTGAGGAAGATTCAGAATCTGATTAAATCCAAATAAACATGAACAAAAAGTGTATACATATAACTTACTTTGGTGAAAAAGATCTTTCTCATAGTCATCATACAGATTGCCTTTAGCTTTATGAAGAGTTTCACAGACTTTGACCCAGAGTTGACCCCGGATAGTGTGATGGGTATCCCAGGAGTTCTTTCTGTGGAAGTCTTTAAGCTCCTTATTACTGTTTTTATACCCCTTTAGAAGGTGAGTAAGTTCCATTTCCCCATCAAATCTGTCAGCCTGTCCTGCTGAACGTATTAGATTTTTATGATCCACATAGTGGGTAAAAGGAATGTTTACACTATCAGCCGGAATGACCTCAAATCCATTGGAAATCACATCCGAGTCCTCCATATCTCCTGAGGTGACCTCAGATTTACTCAAGGTCATGGAGTCACTACTTTCCATTTGACTAGAATCTTTGGGTTTCATATCCACTTCTGTTTTCACTTCTTTACTATCTTCAACATCCTTTGACTTGTTGTCTTCCCCTGTATGCTTGTCAGTTTCTTTTTCCTGAGTTTTTATCACAACTTCCTTATTTGTTTTAACATTATCAGTATCTTCTCCTTCTTCCACTTTTAAACTTTCTTCCCTTTCATTGTCAGCTTCGTTTTCATCATCAGCCTCATTTTCACTGTCAGCCTCATTTTCATTTTTATCCTGCTCACCAGACTCTCTCAGGTCATCAGACTCCTTGACTATTTCTGCTTGACTCTCTTCTTCCTCTTTCTTTCTGTCAACAATATCTTCATCGTTTGATAGTCCTTCCTGAAATCCATCAATCACTTGTTCTTCTTTTTCTTTACCTTCAATATCTTTCCCTAGATCATTCTTTTCATATTCAATATTTTTCTCCATGTCCTTTGGATAAATGTATTCAGATATCTATCCCATGATTGCACTGGTAATGAAGCTACTATCTCCCTTATCTAAATATTGCTTAATTTGGATGTTGCGACCAGGGATTCAACCTACAAAGAAGGGAAATTCATATTTAAATTCATGAACACAAGTCTAGACTGTCATGTAACATATGGATGATTTTAAAAAGGTGCTAATGTATTCAGCTGATGGTCATTTCAGCCAAACTTTTATTATAGGACACTGGAGGGAATGAGCTACCTGTGAAATATATGGCTAACATTTAAAGAAATAATTTTTTAGACATTCAGCACTGGAACTGACATGCTAAATATTTTATTGGTGTTAAGAAAAGTTTAATGCAAATGCATCTGAGTAATTATAGTCTGGCTTTTTTACCTTTTTTCACTTCATATTTGTTATTCCTTATTCAGTCAGAGAAGAGGTCTGTTACTGATAAGCTTTCATATCCATTATCCAGACCACTTAAAATTTTTAATCAATATATTTAAATCACTAAAAAAAGATTCTACAAGATATTTATAAATCAAAAGGTCGCAGCATTGACATTCATGTTAGTGCATATGAAGATGAAAATTACTTCTGTACAGAATTAAGTCTATTTAAGACCTTTCACATCCATGCCATGGATTAAATTTAATCAAATTAGATTGAAGTATGATCTTCTCATGTTTTAGTTAAAAAGTTTAATGTTAATTTAATATTAAATTGTCAGTATACTCATACTCCCAATGAACAGTACATCCGTCCATCACAAGAAATTATTTTTGAACATTTGTAAAACGCTCCATTAAATGTTCAAGGACATGCAGTTTCACCAGATAAGAAAATATTTAGATGCCCTAATATGCCCATCAATTATTCTATCTGGAGAGTACATTTAAAAATTTCCAGCAAAAATTTTTAGGTTACCTTAATTGTTATCAACATGTATTGCATGAAAACCCTTACTTTTCTCAGGCAGTTCAAGTTCTAATGTCTTGCCTTAGATGCCTTATTGCATTATTTCAGCAAAAACCTCATATATATACTGTACAAGTGAATGCACATTTTCAAAGCTGAAACCATACAAGATCTATGACAGTCACTATAATTTATTGCACGAATCTGCCCTATTAAAGCCATTTCAATTTAGCACTGTCTACCGAGATATATTCAATTCATGACAATTAAGGAAATAAGAGCTAGGTTTTTTTTTTTTTTTATTCAAATTCTGTCATGAACTTCATAGAAAAAATATCACAGCTGAGAACATGGAGTACATAGATGAACTGTATACACATACATTTCAGACATCAAGATATTGCACCTATGAAAAAAAGCAGCTAAAAATGCTTCCAGATTTTCAGATTTAAAGGGAATATTAAATCTATGTACTGTGTATCATTATCAATTTGAAAGTATTAAATGCAAATTAGCAGCCTAAAATAAGTATACCAATGTTATTATTATTTTCTCTGGAAAGTTTAATTTGTTTTCAATAAAATAATGCAATCGATACGAATTTTGAATTAAATATGAGGACTCCATTATAACTTTCTTAACCTGTTTATACACTTTATCAAACAATGATTGAGGAGGCCCAATAGAAATCAATGAATATTCTAGATATTTCCTTCAATCTACCAAATAAGAGAAGGTCTCTAAGCATTCCTTTTAAAGTGCAATGTGCATGTATCATTTATTTAACTAGACACAAATATGCCAAATTGTCACACAAATGGCAGTGATGTAAAGAAAAGCCTAGACATGAAACAGTGTACAAAAACATATTTGTACTGTCAAGCAATCTGGAAAACAACATACAGTGTCAGAGAATCAAGAAAAACACTGAGGCCCCATGGCAAATGTATGCATCTTTATTTAAAAAGAAAGTCAAGTCCAAGATCAATATCATTAGATCAAAAATCTGTAATCCAAAGAGAGGTCTTAAGTGTTACAAAGAGTACAAATGTGAAATAAGAATGGCCTTGTAGCAGCCTTTCTGAAGTTATGATCACGGTTATAATTTTTCAAAGGTATCTCAAACTTCAAGGTCAAAGTCAGAAGGTACAATTTTTTTCACAGAAATAGAAAGTTTATATCATCACAAGGAATCGTGATATGTGGAATATGAAAACCCTGGGACCTACCATTCAAATAAACTATGGCCTAAGCTAAAATTGATTAAGGTATTTCAAAAGTAGTTTGCTTCAAATTCCACAGATTTAGCATGCAGGTTTCAGAGGAGCTGCAAAAAATGTAGCCCCCCCCTCCTTTTTTTTTTAAAAAGAAATCTAATAAAAATTGGAGTGGGCTAATATCATTTTCTCTTTAAACTACACAAAAAAATATTTTACAAGCCTTGTACAGAAAAAAAATCAATTATCTCATTAGTCAGACTACTTGCTTTTTGAGGAAATATTGATATCTAAATAACCTGGAAATAAAACAAGTATCTAGGCAACAATGAATATATCAAAAAATTAATCCTTTTTACAGTTTTTGAAAGAATCCTTAATGCATATTAAGTAACAAAACATGATGAGCTAAACAAAATATTATCAACATAAAATGTTTTGATCCAACACAGTTTAAATACTGTCAATTCACTCATTTTGTGGTTATTCACAGTGGTGGGACTGTGTGCCTATGTGTAATTTTTGTTTTGTTTTCAAGGTATGAAGAGACCCATGCAATCGATTTAAGTTTACTACCTTATTTGACTATTCTTCATTCAAATATGTGTTCAAATGTCAAACCACAAAAATTTGACGAGATTAAAATAAGTGATTTTACAATACCTGTACCTCTTTATGGCAAACTAATATCCTTCACATTTTGATTAAATAAAAAAAATAAACTTAAAAAATACTGCTGGACTCTTCCCTCCAAAACCACATCTGTTAATTCAAACATAATTAGCATGGACAGTACTTAATGGAATGTTAGCAATGTAAGATGGAGTCTTCTTATTATCAATGAACGCAACAGATAAATCTGTAGATAAGTGTGTGTCCTTAGGCTAAGTATGAAATCAGGTCAAGATATCTTGTATGATTAACTATTTGAAAAATATTTATAATACATGTCATTATCCTCATATTCCCCTTGTCTGTATGGTTAACTATATACTTATAGCCATATATAGTACAAACAACCAACTCTCTGTCACCTGAGTGAGGCTGACTCAGCATCTATAAATGACTCAGATATCTTAATTTATCAATAAGAGATGAGGCAGTCTGTCAGTGTGTGATTTATAATAACTTCAAAGTTTAAAAGCAACAGTTAATGAATCATCTAAAGCAAGGTATCCATCCTTAGTAATATGACTTTTGCTGTGTTTTAATTAGCTGCATTAATGTAGCCCTCTCCGATTTTTTTAATCTGCTATTTTCTGGAGAGGCCTCCCCCTCCCTCTCCAGAAAAAGGATAAGGGCTACATAATAAACATTATTGCAGCTTGTCTGTATTAAATTAAATGCGGAATTAAGCTAATAAATTTCAATTTTTATTTGTCATTAATGAGATTTTTTCATTAATCAATGATGGTAATTATGCAACAAATATTTGAAATGTTCTTGAACGTTTGGAAATCATCAATTTTTGAGCCGCGACTTCTTACTAGAGACAATATGGTACAGTATATGGCCATAAGAAAGTCATGATTGCATTTTTACATTTATATATTATATTTCATCGGAATTTTTTTTATACCTTATTGTGAGGCCAATCTAAGCCCAATTTCCATGATTTTTTCACCGATTCGTGCAGGATTCTTCAAATGATACACTAATCATTCAGAATAATTTATAAAACCTTCAAAACAAAAAATTCCAGCCTCAAATTACTATGATTTCTTAAAAAATTAGAGTCTGAAAATTTTTATATTGCATTAGACATGCAATATATCTGCAATGCCTGCAGATAAAATTATTTTGAAATAATTTGAAGAAACTGTAAAGAATTCCACATTTAATGATGTTTTATGCCCTGTTCACAAGGAGAGTTTAATTCGAATTAAACGTAAAGTTACTGCTAATTAGCTTCGCTTAGCGTTCACACGGAGAATTTAATGCGAATTAGTTTAATTTGAATTAGTTTACTGCGCATTAAATTACTTCGCATTAGCTCCATGTGAATGCTAAGCGAAGCTAATTCGAATTAAATTCTGAGGCATGCGTAATGGCAAAATTTAGTCAATTAAAAGCCACTTGTTGGTGGTCAGCTATAGGTACTTCTGCTATTTTTGAGTAAAAAACTAAGGAAAATTTTGTTAATCATTAAAATGTGTATGCAGACACTTTGCCAGTATGTCAAATGGATCTGCTTCTGCATAAGGTGACGTGATTTGCAAATGACGTCATAATAGCCGTGCTGACGCCGGGCTGTAGAAGTAAAATTTTAATTCGCATTAGTTTACTTCGCATTAGCTGTCGTGTGAACGCAATTTAATTCGCATTATTTTGATTCGCATTAGTTTACTTCGCATTAGTTTACTGCGAATTAAACTCGTCGTGTGAACAGGTCATTAGTCATAAAAAATGAGTAAAAAATTACACAGCAATTATATTTTAGAAAAATGCATTTTTCAGTGTAATATATTCAAGTGGAAATAAAACTATGACACACTTAATGGCCAGCTATATAGATGACATCAAATTAGATAACCATGCAAAACATATGAATACATACATTTATAGCTGCAGAACTGTAGCTCTGTGAAAAAAATATTTTGACAGACCAGAGAGCTATAGTGCCACCCATTGAAAAGACTATATATATATATTATACAAAAAGGGTGCTGTTTCCCGATTTATTTCTCCATGTTTTTAAATTGTTATAAAAGAAATATAACTAACCATGTGTTATTCCTTATAATTCAATTGTTATTAATAGCCCTCCTGGCCCTGAATTGAGATCATTGAAAATTTCATCTATTTTATATAGGCCTACTGCCTTTTTGGTTTGCAAGATACTCTTCGTGCTGCTGTCACCTGCGAGAGTACTTCATAGAGGAGTAAGGCATTTTTCGCGTTTGAGGTAAGAATTTGGAAGAATTAATCCAGAACTAAGCGCAACTTTTGTGCGCAATAAATATACAGTTTTTACAATGGGTGGCACAGTAGCTCTCGGAGTCTCCGTTCTGTCAATATATATTTTTTCGGAGAGCTACAGTACTGCAGCTAATACATTTAGCAAGAATATACAATTAAGTATTGCTCTAATCCTGTATGTTCTATCATTTGGATCCTCCTCCTCCCTTTTTCAAAATTTGTTAATCATATCATCGCCACCGGTGAAAAAATATGAAAATTATCTGCCACTGACATTTTGCAAGATCTTTTTTGTTAATATACTTAAGATGGTAATTATATACTTATGTGTTTCTAACAAATAATTCATTCAAAGTCATTGTGTATCACGATATATTGCAACCTCGGTAATTACTCTGAGATATTACGTCACTTATATAATGTCTGGTGTCTGAATCGATCTGCAGAAGAAATATTAAAATTTCAACGGAACTGCACTTCGGGGAAACATTTTTTACTTAAGTTATGGAAAATTTAATAAATATTTCACTTACCTTTGTCAATTTCTTTCTCTCTAGTTTCAGTTTCACGATTGTTTATCAAAGTTTCAACTGAAGTCTGAACTTTTTATTTTTAACACAAAAAGGCGTATTGGATATTAGCTAACTTGTACCAATGATGTCCGATTGTAAAAGATAACACGCACTAAAACTTATTCGTTTTTCTCTATTGTTGCCAGCTTTCTGATCTGCTCATACTAGATCACTTGTGATGATCATGAATAAAAGTCTTATACACTTTATGTTTCTATTTCACGAATTTAAAAAGCTTATAAACCAACTGCCTTTTTATATAGAAACATTCTTCTGTGAATTTAAGCAACAATAGTGGCTGTTTTGATATAATAATGTTACAAGTCTTGAATATAAACTGGATGATACTGCAGCTGCTACTATGTCATAACAATGCCTTATATGAGAAAGTACTGGCATTTATATAACACAGTCTTGTCTTAATCAAAATTTGGATCAAATTTTTGTGTTGCTCAAGTTATCACTATATAAATTCTCCCTTCCATGCAAAGAACTGGTTTCAAATGATAAAAAATCTGCAAATTTGATATCAATGTTAATTAATGAAAATATTTAATGTACCTAGGTAACCTCAGTAAAGCTACTGTCACTAGTTTTTTTGTGCAACTCAGGTTTAGCTAGCCATTAATTAACTTCCCGGGTAACATTCATGCAACATGATCCTAAGCAATTATAACATAGATTTTTAAGAATTTCTTATTAAATGATAAAGAAATATAATAAAACAAATACATGTGTATAGCATTTAAATTTGGTACATTATCTATGACTAGTTATATGGATCTTGGGGAAAGCATAATGATCTTGGTGCTTTAATTTGTGCTTGGCCAATATATGCTTTTTCTGAGGTCTATATCGTACATGTATCTATAGGTATAACCTCAGCAAAAGGCTTCATTTGTGTAATATCCAATTTATTTACTGACTCCATTGCACATTTAAATAACAGACATACACTGTAGTTTAAAATTAGATGCGAGTTCCACTCCCATACTCCCTTAAGTATGTTAGTGTAGTTGAGCATGTGAGCAGATCTAACATCTCAATTTAATTAGATTAAGATTATCCAAGTTTAAAATCAATGAAAATTTCAGCTAAAAATGTAAAAATAACATTTAAAATGTATCTCTTCACTCAAACTTGTATTATTATTCTTTTAGCTCAGATATACCGGGTGTATATAGCTTTACATCTTTTCTGACTGCAATATTTTGTTACAGCAATTTGGTGTATATTTTCTGAATTTTTAGCATTTGAATAAAAACATGTATTTTCATAATGTGAAAAAAAGTTTAATTAAATCTAAATGTAACAACAAAAGAATACAATCAAAAAGACAGTAACATTGTGATAACACTGGTCAACAATTGAAAACAGGAAGATTTACAGACATTCACAATAATACAGAGTACTATGCAGGGGTTACCCCCTCTCTAGTCTCTACTCCCATCTGCATTCATAAACTTGTCACCAGCTAAGAGATAAAAATAAAACTATTTGGCTAAAGAACAATAAATCAATAATATTGTGAGGTTCAATTTTTCATTTGCAGGGCAGCATTTCTTAAAAATTGATAAGAAATTATGACAAATAAAACAAATATTACATGGATTCAGATCTCATTTATGTGAACACCATCAAGATAAGACAAGATTTAACAGAGACCTTGATTTATCTAGATCTATCTCCAACAGAAACAGTTCTTTTTAAATACATTTGAATTTACCCGTTTACATGCACTAGAATATATTTGTTTTTTTCAAAAAATAAATTAAAAACAAAAATTTTTCATTTGCAGGGCAGCATTTCTTAAAAATTGATAAGAAATTATGACAAATAAAACAAATATTACATGGATTCAGATCTCATTTATGTGAACACCATCAAGATAAGACAAGATTTAACAGAGACCTTGATTTATCTAGATCTATCTCCAACAGAAACAGTTCTTTTTAAATACATTTGAATTTACCCGTTTACATGCACTAGAATATATTTGTTTTTTTCAAAAAATAAATTAAAAACAAAACTTTTTCTGTGCATTTCATGCAACACGTGCCATATTATATAAACAATCTGCACTATGAGAGTGTGTGCACTATTAAAAATCTTCAGTCGTAATTTTTTTTTCTTACACAAGATACTCTTAAGTATGTAGCATAGTCAAATATATTTTCAAAAATAAATAAATACAGTGTATTATGCCACTTTGCTCATATAAAATTCAATCCCTATGGAAAACATTTTACTTGCTGAATCTATCCACACTTATTCGACTTTGGACAACATTTCCAGTCTTCAAGATGCGGTTTACTGGATCTAACATTATACAGTGTTTGATAAATTTGACTGTGAGCAAATAAAGCTCAGAATTCTGGTCCCACGGCTTGCATACATTAAGGTGAGTGGTTGACAAAGGGTGGAACTCTCCAATACCAGGATCTGTAAAACATCCAATAATTCATTAACAATCATTCAATGGGATTTTTAGTGCATAGACATTGTACACTGTGTATATGAAACTAATGTCATAAATAAACATTTCTCTAGTCTCAGGAGGAATGGTAATGCAAGTTCTTTACTTACTAGTAAAACATAGTTTGACTCAACCATGATCTTGATTTGATATCAATGTCATGGTCTTGTCCTTGAACAAGCAACACTGACTGATACCTCCTAAATCTAATCTGTCAAAAATTGCTTGATCATACCCAAAACAGAAAATGACTTAAATATTTCTACGATAAATCTGTAAACCATAATTTCCTTTCAGCATGTGTAACCTCTGCAGAGAAATTGAACAGGAACTGCAAATAATTGGAATTTTTGTAAGTCCAAGGGGCATAACTCTGTCAAAAATTGCTCAATCGTACCCAAAACAGAACCTGATATAGATGTTATTATGATAAATTATACACAAAATTTCATTTCAGTATGTGCAGCCTCTACGAAGAAAATGAATGCAAAATGTTGGTGGACCAACAAATAGACTTACCAACAGACAGACAACAGACTTACAGTAAAGCAATTTGCCCTCACTTCTTTGAAGGAACAATACGAACTTTTGACTATTCTTACCACTAGACTCAGGTGGAACAATAAGAAGTTTGATTCTTTTGTATCCAACAGTTTGCTTCTCAGTTTCACCAAAACTCAGGCACCTGATTCTGTTTTCTGTCACAATCTGCTTAAAGTTGTTGTGTAATGTTCTCAGAGCTAAAGAATCTAAAAAAAGACTTTAATTGTTTAAATATTGTTAGAATAGTGCACATTTTATGGTTCACAGTAGAATGTTGTATTGACCAGAAGACAACTGATAAAATTATTTACAAAATCTATTAGGTACATGTTTTAAATCATCAATTCAGATTAACGTTACATTGTAATTTCTAGCCAACCCCAACATATTTTTTTGTTTTACAAATATATAAAACATAAAATCATTTAATAGTAAGGAAAGATCTTGAGATGATATTGTTCTATAATATTCATTGTCTGAAATAGCATGAGCTTGTTATATTCACATTTTGAAGTTACGTATGTTCCAAACATCATTTTGCATTAACTGTAGGCACCTAATATGAACAAGTTAAAGTGTACCTTGACTGAGTTCCTGGACCTCTACCGTGGGGGAGAAGATACGACTCCCCCGGTTGGAGATGTTGGCCAGGGCGGAGCCTCGGTGGGGCGTGCTGTAAAAGATAATCCCCGACGTGTTGCGGACAATGTCTGAACAATCTGGACTAAGGTTACTCTGACAGAGAACTTTCTTAACCAACAGCCCTGTATGAACATTAAAATCACAGCATAAATGATGCTTAAGTTTATAGATTTTATGTTGGGAAGGCAAGCAAATACAGAATTGCCACTGAGTAAAGCACAACACATTCTGAGCAATTAACTTATTAATTATATCAAAATTAACACAATTTGTTGACTTTTTTCAAATAAGTGTTAGATTTACCTCCCATTGAATGTGTGACCCAGATAATAGGTCGTGACCCCACCCCTGCTGCCTTCAACTTCTTTTGAAGTTCTGAAGCTCGCCTTGGTAAGGAACGCCTACAACACATTAAATGCTGATCCATAGATACACATAGGTACCTTTTTAAATTTATAAACTTTGTTCTTTGATAGTTACATTTATAGTAATTATTTTTTAATAAAGATAATCATCAAATCTATCTAAGATGTGGAATTTTTTATAAATGATATAACAGTAGTAAAGAAAAGAAGGTACATTACTTACTTTTCTGTCTCATATGGACAGTTTGCATTCCATGTACTGAGATTTGTGTCATACTCTACAGACAAAATACGGACAAAGGGAACATCGTTTGACAGCCAATCCTTATAAAAAATTAAATTAATTTAAAATTACATCTATCTGCATTTCATAGATCAATCAAAGCTTGATATTAAAAATATCCTTTACTACAAATTGCAAATTATAAATGAAAAGCATATAAATGAACTTAGAATTAATTGGTTAACTATTTCAACATTAACCTATGTATTTCGTACAGAATTAGAAATGTCAGCCCTAATGTCTTTTTAAAATAACTAGTAGTAAACATATTACTATTGGAATTTTGCATTTACAATGAAGTTGCATTCAACTGTACTTGTGTGCAGACATCAGGCTACAGAGAAGGCAGGGAGACTCTCGTACAAGTAAACAGCTAGAGATTTTTTTGTTCACAGATTTCTCATCCATACCTTTGGCCAGCAGAAGGTGTAAGTTCCTTTGCGGACACTTGCCGGCCCTTCTGCTACATTGTCTTTGTCTGGCATCTTCCTGTCCTGTTGTCTCCAGGTTTTAAAAGGTCCACCAAGTAATCCATGGACAAACACCACATCAGCCATCACTGGGTCTCTATCAATATATCGTATATCTCATATGTCTTGCACACATTTAAACATAAAGAATCACGTAAAATATGTGATAAGCTCTAAAGGTAAAAGTCAAAATATCAAATCTTCATTCAACTAAACATGAAATTAGCTGACTGCGCGCCTCTCACTGAATCATATTCTTCAATAATTATAACAATAATCTGTTGAATGTTATTTTACTTAGATCTCTTTGTTGGGTGTACAAGGTAGACTCCACTGGGATACAGAAATGTCCCATCATCCCTGTCTAGATTAACTAGTGCTCTAGAGGCGTGTAAGGACAGCTGAAGGTCAGAGGACTTGGACCATTTATACAACAGGGATACCCAACCTGAAAATACAGGGGACACATTTACATGTATATGATTATATCCGTGATACCTAATAATACAATAATCATAGTCTACAATGTTTCAAATTTTATAAACAAAGTGCAGTAAAACACAGGTATACCCTTATAGGAAAATAACACAGTCAAAAGAGTGGATTTTCCAATTTCCATGAGCGTCTGCTCTAGAGTCGCGAAGTAAGGAGTTAATCCTTAAATCGCGGGTTCAAATCCCACTTTGTGACATGGAGACCGGTTCTTCAGATGAGACAGCATCAACCGAGGTCCCCTGTCGCAGTAGGTGCTGGGACGAAAAAGATCTCTCCCTGCTCAATGGCCCTGAGTGCCGAGTATAGAATGAAATTTGTAGCTCTCCACCAGCAAATGGTGGTGTCTCCATATGAGTGAAAAATTCTCGAGAGGGACATTAAACAACATACAATCAATCAATCAATTTCCACAATTTTAAAAGTACCAGTATTGTAATCTTCACAGACACTATAACGAATCAAAATTGCTCATCCTTGGCAATTCACTATTTGCATATTTTACTGTACCATTGTTCCAAAAAAAAACAGAGATATGTTTCTGAAACCCTGATGTCCCCATATTACAACTCATATATAAAATATGTCCAGTTATATAAAGATAACCATTGCCAGAAAATGTAACAATACTTACTCCAGTAGGACTTAGGAATCTGTGATTTTTTTTTTTACATCTTTACCTTATCATTGCTACTTGTAACAAACATAATCTTTGTGATTTTACTTGAGATATTGTGAGTAAATGATCTCACAAAATTCTAGCCCCTGTCGCATTTTTTCCCCTACCGGTAAATTGCTGCATCAAATGATTTTGTCTCACAATTTTATGGAGCAGATATGTTTTATACTTTTTTCTTCAAGTTACCTTAACTTGTTTAAATGATCTTGGATCAAGAATATAACAAACCCTAAGTTTACAAGCAATCAATGTGCCAAGTATAAGCCTTCAATGTTTTTTTTCAGTTATTAGGATATGGTCTATTCACAATTTCGCATGAACTGGACAGCTAGTTTGTCAATACAATTGGGTTTGGTTCATATTATCTTCCTCACTGAGACAATTCAAGACTTACAGACAATATAATTATTATTAGTCTCGTCAAACTATGCATCTGAAGGGTTTCAAAAATTAAAGCTACTTAGTACAAATAAAAATAGATTTTAAGAATGAGCTATTTAAATTGTCTCTACAGAAAAATAACTTCAAGATCCCTGTGTTTCCTTGGGGTTCTCTTACCCCCTTTAATGATTTCTGGATGTAGCTCTTCATGGACGGACAAATTTCCCAAAATTCTTGCGATCTGTCTTCTCATCACTATGCTGTATTTCCTCTTGTGGTACGTCTGTTGTAGAAGTGGTAGCACTCCCATTTTCATCATTTCAAAGCAATGATGTCGCTCCTGGCAAAAAGTAAATAGATAAACATGAGACAAATATCAAGAATGTTTGCTATTTTAAGCTCATTGCAATGTATACTGCCAAAATCAGCAGATACTTCTAGTGAGAAAATGAACATCCTGGTTTGTATTGATTTTTGTAATTTTGCAGTCATTCACCTATGAAGCAGAGAGGCATGTCTTTCATTAAAACATATTCAGAAGAATAAGTTTCAGACTTTGGGAACAAATATTCAGTAAAAACAAATTATAGATCTTTAAAAGTAGTTTAATGAATGGTTGTAGAAATATTGATTTAATCCAAATAGATAAAAAAAAATAGCTAGGGGATTATGAGATTGAAAACCTTATGGTAAACATGAAATTTAACACATCTCGAGAAATTCTGGTAGTTTTAGTTTCTGGTTTATTTATTCCATCTTATAACAGGTCAGGGAGTATTTTTTTTTTTACATATCTCTCCACAAAGGGGAGGAAAATCAAGATCTGATAACTTTTCACACTGTGACAAATTATCAGGTTTATTCAAAAAATAAATCTCATCATTCCTCTGCTGAATATGTAATAATTTAGCACATATTACATTTTTTGATCTGTAACTTCATTGATCTGTAACTTCATGCATAGAAACACTTTTGAGAAGAATCTTACTTACATTGGAGTGACTGATTAGAGCTTGTAAGCAGATAATTTCCACCCTCTCCTCTGGCCCTCGGCTCACAGTTTTAGCAAAATCAACTCCAGGTCCTCCAAAACTCCAATATCCTCCCTAAACAATATTTTCAACAATATTAAGGAATACACTGTACATAAATTTTGCATAAAAATACTATATTATAATCATTATAACGCTCTTATAGAACTCTTGCCTGGGTATTTGTCATCTAAAATTTGAAATTGTTCACAAGTACATCAAGTATGTAATATGCAACAAGAATTCAATTTTTTGTCACTTCTTCCATTTCCTATGATGTAATTTATTTGTGTATCAAATTAAGAAGTTAAAAGGTTTATCCCACCTTGTATATTGTTTTAGGACACACATTTTGAATAACTTTATAATGTTTTACAGCATTGTCCTACATATTTGCTCAAGCTAAAGTACATATGGTAAGGACAGGTACTGGAGAGGCTAATGGGCATTGGATGCTACTTGAATATTATGAGTTTTTACTGATAGAACAGTCCAGCTGTTTCTGGAACTAGAACTCAGGACTCGAGTGAATTTTACAATTTAGTGAAGATTCTATGATCTATGTATCACGTTCATGCAGTGCATCTTGTTTCCAGATGATTAGGAATATAAGTAAAGAATTAAATGCATTTTTTAAAATCATTCAGTGTATAATCATATGTGCTGCATACATATAAACCCCACTCTAGGACCAGAACCTTAATCAGTAGTAAAGAACCTCAATTCTGGAAAAGAGCTCATTTCTCAAAAATGCTAACAGTTTGTTTGAAGTATGCAATTTCAATAGAACAGACCTACTCACTACTGAACAATTCTTTGTGATCTTGTATGTCTGACTTACCCGTTCTTCTTCTATATTCCCCTCAATCAGGGCCTGTGTAGTAAAATACTCCAAACATTTGCTGAAGCCATCTTTTGGCAAGGAAGACAATAGAACTTTTAATCCTGATTCCAGATCTCCCTGAAAATAAATCGTTGAAATCAATTTTAATACAAAACAATATTACATTGTGCACAAAAAATGTGCAGCAAGATGAAGAAAAGTGCAAAATAATTATATCTATGAGTGTGAAGAACAGGAAAATAAACAGTTCTTTTTAGCACTGTACCTCTACTTTGTCTGGGGTAGGAAATGAAGCAAAATATCTCCCATCTACATCTTCTGTCCTAGCTAAGCCAACCAATGTTCTTGAATCACAAGCTTTCCTGACCCATTCATATTTCTCATCTAGTAATTACATGTACAAGGAAATTAAAAAAAAGCCTCAATATTGCAAAATTATTGCATACATTGTTTCATTAATCAGAAAGTACATGAATACTTTAAATAATATGTTAGTAAGAGTCAAAATTCATGGAGGTTAAGTAAGCAAAAAAGTACACCCCCCCCACCCCCAAGAAAAAAAAAACATATAATGTAATACAAATGTTGTAAGTTACTGTGTTGTGAGGTGTGTTGTATTTGTATTATTTCATCATGTATATTATTAGTAACATTAAGTTTCTTGAACATTCCAGAGTGGTCAACATGTTCGGTCATTTTTTCTAGAAC